AAGCGGTCCTCCGAGCAGGAGTTACCGACACTGGGAGGAAATGGACTCCTGAGGAAAGAGCGGAGAAGTGGAGGAGACGAAGGCAGGAGCTCTGCATGCGTTGTGGACGAAAGGAACACTGGGCAAAGGACTGCCCTAACCCAGAATCGTTAGAACGTCCAGTGGAGGATCAAGGAAGCTCAGAAAGAGCTTCCAAGGCCGATTCAACTCGAGGAAGAGGGACGGCCAACCAAGGGGGAGGTCGTAAGGACGATTCAACTCGTCCTTTAGAACGGATTCGCGCCGGGATCGTGGTGGAAGAACGGGAAGGAATGGACGATCTATGGAACGTCCACATCTTAGACTCACCAAAGGGAGGTGAACAAGAACTGTCGGATGAAGTGGGAAATGGGCAGGGGGCTTCGAGGTAGATCAGGGCGAACTGCGAAGCCCCGCAACACCTTCGCCTACCACAATAAGAGCTGCACTCGGAGGGAGTCAGCCAGCTCGTCTCACATCCCGATCCTACAATTCCTTCATCATCCTTACACGCTTTCCGTTCTCCGACCTCGATGAAGACAAAGAATATGCCACACTAGTGGATAGTGGAGCAACTAGATGCTTCATAGACAAAACTGTCGCTATGCGACACCCAGAAAATTTGGTTGACCTAACAGACAGTATCCCTTTGGAGCTGTTCGACGGGAAACCTACCTCCGCAGGATTGATAACTCAGACCTACACTGACCAGATCAGTTTTGCGGATGGAACAATTCACAAGGTGGAGTTCCTAGTAACTCGATTACACCCCACGGCTCCAATTGTGCTGGGATTGCCGTGGCTACGCACGCACAACCCAGTAATTGACTGGAAGGAACTTTGTCTGACGTTCCAGGACCGAAACGTTCGAATCTCAGCAGCCCTTGCGTCGGAAATTGTCCAACCAGGTGCCGAGGGAGGTACTGAGGAGCTAGGGAGGGGGGTAAATAGCGAAGAAATACACGCAGGAACTCTCCAATCACCTCCTGAAGCTCCTCAACGACCTCCTGAAGCTCCACAACCACCTCCAGAAGCTTCTCAACAACCTCCAGAAGCTCCCCTTAGAGCTCCAAGGACGAGGGTGAAACTAGAGGAAGTAAAGGACGAAGAGTACGAAGCAAGTCAACCAGGCCCACACAAGTTATTCCCCTCGGACAAAGATCTAGGGCCAGACGACCCAATCCTTATGGGGATCAACGAATGGCTAGCATTCGCGAGCGAAAGTACGGAAGAAGAGGTGGAGGAAATCCTCGAGGCTGGGCGATCCGCTATAGAGAGAGTAACCCCGAAACCAACGAAGGATTCCGAGGAGGCATATCAAAAGTGGAAGAGTAGGGGCACGGAACGGTCCTCCTCCTGGCCGGGAGCTAAGCAAAAAGTCCGGTGGAGGAAGAAAAGGAGGGAGCATGGACCTTATCCCGACCTCCCTACCTTAGACATCGAAAGCCTGAACATACCCAAGATTCCTTCAAGGTCTGGTCTGACTCCCAAGGGTTCAATAAGACGCAACAACTTCCGGAGAAAGCAGCTCATAGCGGGTACCCACGTGGTGGAACGAAAATCGGACCCAACCATACAAGGGAAGCCCATCAGCTTAATAGGAGCTGCTGGGATGGATCGTCTACTGAGGGAGGGAACCCCAGCGTACTTCCTTCATATATCGCCTACGAAGGAGGAGTCCCCTACTGAAGAAATGCTCCGGGCGAGTGATAGCAGTGCCACGGAGGGAGTGCAGCAACCAAAGGATCCTGAGAGTGGGGACCCTAGTTCGGAACAAGGAGGGGTCGTCAAGGAGCTCGACAAAGAAGAATCGAAGCGTCAGGAGACGGAGGAATTAAAGAAATCCATTCCCGTCCAATACCAGGACTACTTGGACGTGTTCTCACCTGGAGAAGCAAGAACGCTACCCCCTCACCGACCCTACGATATCAAAATTGAGACAGAAGGGGATGCGATACCTCCCATAGGGAAGCTCTACAACATGTCCGAGAAGGAGTTGAAATCCCTCAAGGAGTACATCGATGAGATGTTAGGCAAGGGGTTCATACGATCCTCCAGCTCCCCTGCGGGAGCTCCTGTCTTGTTTGCCAAGAAAAAGGATGGTACTCTACGACTCTGCGTCGACTATCGAGCCCTGAACAAAATTACAAAGAAGAATAGGTACCCTCTACCCCTGATAGGCACCTTAGTGGATCAACTACGGAAGGCGAAGATCTTCACAAAGATTGACCTCCGCGCAGGATACAATAACGTCAGGGTAGCCCAGGGACACGAGTGGAAGACCGCATTCCGAACTCGGTATGGGTCATTCGAGTACCTGGTAATGCCCTTTGGGCTCACGAATGCCCCCTCTGCGTTTCAATTCTTCATGAACGAGATCTTTCACGATATGGTGGACGTCTGTGTGGTGATCTATCTGGACGACATACTGATCTACTCAGATGACGAGGAGTCCCATGTGGAGCACGTCAGGAAGGTCCTGGAACGGTTACGGGCAAATCACCTCCACGCCAAGCCGGAAAAATGTGCGTTCCATGTCGACACCGTCGAGTATTTGGGGGTGATCATATCACCATTGGGAGTGTCCATGGACCCAGAGAAAGTGAAGGCCGTAATAGACTGGCCAAAACCAAGGACGGTGAAGGAACTCCAAGCGTTCCTCGGATTCGCAAACTTCTATAGGAGGTTCATAGACAACTACTCGGGAATCACCAAGGTGTTCACGAAGCTCCTCCGAAAAGATTCAGTGTGGAACTGGACACCACAGTGTAGTAGTGCCTTCGAACTTCTGAAGTCAGCATTCTCCGAAGCCCCGGTTCTGGGACATTATAACCCGGACCTACCGGTAGTCCTCGAATGCGATGCCTCCGACTTGGCGATAGCAGGGATCCTATCACAACTGGATCCCGAAACGGGGGAGATACATCCTATCGCCTTCCATGCACGGTCAATGATCTCTGCGGAACTAAACTACGACATATACGATAAGGAGCTCCTAGCTATCGTGGACTGCTTCAAACAATGGAGGGCGTACTGCGAAGGATCCCGACACCAGATCCAAGTATACTCAGATCATAACAATCTGCAGTACTTCACCACTACGAAGCAGTTAACAGCACGACAAGCCCGGTGGGCAGAGCTCCTTTCAGGATACGATTTTGTCATCAACTATCGTCCAGGGAGGTTGGGAGCCAAGCCGGACGCGCTCACCCGCAGATCAGACGTGTACCCAAAGAAGGGAGCTTCAAGGGACCAGGTCTTAGCAGGGAGGGAAAGGGTACTCATACCTCCAGAACGACTGAACGCTACCATCCTTATGAACGAGGACCTCCTAGTGAATCGAGTAAGGGAAGCTCCAAAGGACACGACTATAATTGAAGCACTAAAAAGGATTGCACGCAACGAGGAGGAATCTTTCGTTTGGGAGGATGAGCTGATAAAGAGGGGAGGTCGTATATACGTCCCAGACGTTGGGACTCTACGAAGGGAGGTCCTACAGTCGTACCACGACCACAAACTAAGGGGACATCCGGGGGAGAAACGCACCAAGAAGCTCGTAAACCAGCTGTTCTTCTGGAAAGGACTGTCCAAAGACGTGAACTACTACGTGCGGAGCTGCCACTCGTGTCTGAGAGCCAAAGCCAGTCGCTCCAAACCTTACGGGAACCTCCGTCCGTTACCAATTGGTCAACGACCTTGGTCCTCAATCTCCCTAGATCACATCACCCAGCTCCCAGCCACTGCGGGACCAGAGAAATACGACGCCATCCTCGTAGTAGTTTGCCGACTCACCAAACAAGCCATATATGTTCCTTGTCATACGACGGATAAGGCGGAGGACTTTGCCAATCTATTCATCACATACGTCTTCTCAAAGCATGGGATGCCCTCCGACATAACTTCAGACCGGGGCTCCCTCTTTGTGTCCCAATTCTGGAGGGAGCTCTGTAGAGCATTAGGAATCGAGTCTCGACTATCAACTGCGTATCACCCACAGACAGATGGACAAACGGAACGAGTAAACCAATCCGTGGAAGCGTACCTTCGAATCTATTGCTCCTACGACCAAGACGACTGGGACCTCCTCCTACCAATGGCCGAATTCGTATACAACAATACCCCAAACACGACTACAGGTGTCTCACCATTCTTCGCCAACAAGGGTTATCATCCAAAGTTGTCCATTACGCTGGAACAGGTGCAGGAAGCGGAGGTCAATGAGTATGCGTCCAACCTCAAGGAGCTACATGCGTACCTCCAGGAACGCATCGAGGTAGCTAACAAGGTCTATGCGAAGTACGCGAACCAAAAACGCCAGGAGGCCCCGGACTGGAAGGAGGGTGATCAAGTCTGGCTAAATATGGAGAACGTCAGGACTAGACGACCCATGAAGAAGCTAGACCACAAGTGGACAGGTCCCTATACAGTTTTGTCGAAAGTAGGAAGTCATGCCTACCGACTGGACCTCCCTGGAGACCTCCACAAGATTCACAATGTGTTCCATGTCGACAGGCTGAAACCCCACTTCTCTCGTGAAAGAGACGGTAGAGTCACGGCCGGGTGACCGGGCCTGACAATTTGATCCCGTCAATCGTCTTGGGATCATTACGGAAACGTCGACGGGTCCAGACTCAGAGACGCGCGTGATCTGTCCACGTCGCCGGTTGATTTCCTTTTTCAACCGCGCTTTCCATTGTCGTACCACGTAGCAATAAAACTGATTATTTTCTTTTTTTGCCCCCGCCCTCCGTATTTTTGTTAGATCTTGCCGCTCGATCGTCGCGCTTGCCGATGGAGTGGTGGGGGTCTTCGCAGTACCGGCAGTGCCGCCGCCTCTTGCTGCCTTTCTTGACCTACTTTCTGCTGTTTCCCCTCTGATTCTCGCGTTCACTGCTGCTTTTTCGATCTCGTTATTATCTCTTGGTATTATTACACGCTGTTATCAGGTCTTACGGGTTGCCGCTGCCTCTCTTCGCCGCATTATGGCTGCTCTTCTCGGCACTGCCATCACTCTTGACCCCAAAGAGGAAGAGTATGCTTTTCCAACAAAAGATGGAAGCACGTACAAGGTCAAAATGTCTGTGGTTGGTTTTCATTTGCATGTCCATCATACTGTGCCACTCATCTATCTCTTTGTCTTCAGTATGAGCATGCGTGTCCCAGAATTGAAGAAACTCTGTGGTGATGTTGGACAGCCCCGCAGTGGGACCAAGATAGTTCTGCAAGAGCGGCTAAAGACATTCAGTATGGATACGGAGTTGTGGAAACTGTGAGTGATCATTCACTTTCTCAATCCAGTCTTGACGTGCAACTTAGGCTACAGCCTGGGGCGAGACGTCCACACAAGGGGAGCCGAAGCCACGAAAAAACCACAAATGAGAATTCTCCAAAGAAGAAGAGTGCATACGTGAAACGTCGCGAAGCACTTTTCGGTGACGCAGAAATGGCTGGTTTTGTCCAACGGTCCAAGGATTTGCGCACCGAGCAGGAAAAGAAAGAGACACTTGACTGGGTATGTTCTCCGACAACTGTGTATCGCTCAAAAACTCATAATTATGTTTTCTGTTGTACGGTGTTGTCTCTCCAGGCTGCTCAGATGTCCAAAGAGTTCGAGGACTTTCAACACCCGCGAGCGGTAAGCAATTGCGAACCACTGTTTCCGACACCAGTAAGATGTCCATTCTCCATCTTCCCTAATGTATTCTCAACAATATTTTATAGGCCGTTCGAGAGAAGAAGATTGAGGCTCAGCTTGATACCCTCCTGGAGCTTATACGTTGTAACTCGACCGCTCAGATTCCCATGCGTCCGTTGGCTCATTCACTCCCCTCCCTGCCTTCTACATCCTCTGGCCAAGCTGGTGCTTCCACGGCGCTTGGTCACCGGCTAATAGTTCCTCTGCCACAATCTGATACCGAGTCAATTTCTGTAGCACCTGCACCTCCCATTGAACCGGCGCTGGTGCCCGTTAGTTCAACAAATGTTTCTGTACCACCTCATCAGCCTCTGCCGGAACCTCCCTTGTCATTGATGTCAGAACCTACTCGAGCTTCTGGCCCTTCCCGGGTCATTGTACTTGCTGATGGTACACGTATTACATTTGTTTCTTCTGATGTACCGGACCCTATCCTTGTCTCATTTTCGGATGACATTGCCAAATTAGTTCGGATGTGGGATGAGGCCGCTCTTGGCTACCAAGCTGATGAATGTTATCTGAAGATCAAGGGTTATGGTATTCCTCTCCGATTGTGGGAGCAAGCATACAAGTACAGCGGAGATGGACGTTGGAAGGGAACAAAGGACAAGTGGTGTAAATGGAAGGTACATCACCACTATTCAACTACTTCAATCTTCTGATTATTGTATCCATACCAGTTCATTGTCGAAGCTTACAACCTACTGGGCAAAGAAGCATTTTGGCAAAAGTATCACGATCCTAAAACTGACAAACCAATGAGTTACACTGCTATTGTTGAAGCTCTTCGAAGTGAACGGAAAGTGAACGATGCACTTGTTACTGTCCGGCTTCAGGAACAACTGGGTGATAAGTTCAAGAACAGCTTTGGCTATCGAGGTCAACAGCTTGTCAGGGCGTCTGCTATTGCGAAGAGGAGCCGTACAATGAAGGATACTCAGACTTGATTTACTATACACCCGTTTGTCATTATTAACTGAGTCTATCTAATTATTATAATCAAGCACAATCACAGCTGCGACCACAAGCGAAACATTTACTCTGAGGCATCCGTTCCATATTGAAAAAATCTTCGCGTCTAGTTCGTGGATCATCATTCCATGATATAAGGTATTTCACGATTGTCAGATGCGAAAAGTCAGACGACCAGCCGCCCCACTCGCAAATCTTCCTCAAAGGCCAACGAAGATCACAATGCAACCATTGGCAACCTCCACGACGAAATGAATGTGTCCCATATGGGTCTGCATTCACCCCAATGTCGGTAAGGTTTTGGCGGAAACCCGCAAGAAAAGCTTCTGAGCTCTGCAGTAGGTTAATCAGATATATGAGGCTTCAGTTGCGACAGTGACCTACTAATTGGGCATTTGGATTAGCTGATATGCGGTCCCCAGATCCAATCTTCCTGAAAATGTATCCTTCAGTGATTTTGGTGAGATTGATCCAGTCAGCATAAGCCCGAACAGGACATAGATGCTTGAGGGAGGATGGAAGAGCGTGCAGATAGAACGGCTGAACTTCTGCTGAGGGTGAATATCAAATAATACTTCATACTGAGTTTGCTTACTTCCAAATTGGTTGGTTTTCCGGAATGGTAGAGTTACCTCAAGGCATTTTGGGTTTTCTGGAACAATCCTAATCTCGTGTGCCTGGATTTTGAGTACTTCATCAACACGCAATAAACATGCAAAGGCTAATGTATAGGCAAGATGGAGCTCGCGACGGAATCGTGGACCGCCCCACTGCTCATTTTCCTGGTCTTTGCTGCGTTTCGAGGGTTCATAAGGCCGGATAATCCAGTTTTCGGGTTTACGATTGTAATCATACATACGACCAAGGTATTCCTGAATACCAATCAGTGACTTTCATATATATTTTTGTAAGACTGACAGGAGTAATTGCACGCGCACTAGTTGCAGCCTCTCCGCCCTGTACCTATCTGTATGTTAGCATAATAAATGATGGCAAGTACATTGAAATTACTTTTCGTCTCCGCAGACTAACCATGTAGCTGGAGACTAATGAGGAAACCGATGGATTGCCTTTCATCAATCCGGTTACTTCACTACGTTCCCAAGTTGCCAAACCTAGGCCAGCAACACGATTAAAGCCATATGTGAAGGCAGCTCGAATCTTCTGGGCATGTGTATAGCCATTTCGGACCTGCTTGGAGTCTTTTACGGAACCGTCAAGATTAATGGAGTCACATCTGAAAGTAGTTATCAGACAAAGATCGACATCAGAGGTTTTGACGCACGAATTCATGATAACAGCTACAATCATTTCTGCAGAGTCCTCGTGTGGTGGAGAAATAAAGAGTTTGCCTTTTTCAATGAGACCTCGTTCAACAAGAAAATCCTCCGATTTATTCATAATTCTATCGATCAAATTATATGAATATCTGGGAGCTCGAATGGGACAAAACAAACCGTTGATAATCTGCTGCAGTATCCTGGCTGACGCCCTTCGAAGCCTCATTCAAGATATTCCGCAGTCCGGTAGCATCCATAGCAGTTGTGCCACTTGTTTTTGGACCTGAGTTGTGATGTTTGCTTTTACTTATTTTTCGTAAGGAGCGTGCAGGGTCAGGCCTTCTCTGTGTATCACCCTCGTCCTCTGAGTCATCCTCTTCATCCTCTTCATCAGAATCAATGAGCAGGGCAGGAACATCTTGAGGATTATCATCCAAAATATCCATTTCCTCGTCTTCATCAGGCAGGGGCATATTGCCAGAGTAAGAAGCCTCTTGTTCTGCATCCATGTCATCGGAAGCTTGTTCAGCAAACGAGTATGGCTCATCGCCGAAAGCTTTGATCACATCTTTGAGGCCCTTGTATCGGTCCAGTGAAGCCATTGAAATGAGCAGAAAGATATCGCAGAAAAAATCCGAACATGCAGAATATATGTACATTTCTTGAGGGCTTAAAGTCTTGTGTCGCAAGTGATGACAAGTCCCCGAGACCACCGCTCAGAATACCCTTATTAAATTTCTTGAGGGGCTAAAGTCTTGCAATGTCTAGCTTATGCACAGATTTTCCTCTCGCAAGTGACGACAAGTCCCCGAGACCACCGATTTGAGTACCACTATTGGAGTTTATAACATTTAATTAGCAAATGAAAAACGTGTATTCCATCGGAGCTTTACAAAGTACAGTCATAGAGATGTACTGATTGTGAAGCTTATGAAGAAAGTTCAATGTGGATGATAACCGCATATCAAACAGAAGCATATTAGGACACCAGTACTATTGAATAAATTACATACGCACCTTTCGTTGACCTAACAAGCCTGCTTGCATCTCAATGACCTAGCTTTCAACAAACCTGTGGGCACAGGGTTATACTAAGAATAGGTGCATGGAGTTTGAAATATCCAGGTAGAGAAGGAGAGCCACAGAACGAAGAGGTGATTGAACAGGTGTACAATGGAAACATTCCAGATTTTCTGTAGTGCCGCACCACCTTTCAGGCTGTAACCAGCTTTGAGGTGGTATTTCATTGTGAAAAGTGAAAGGTCTTTGCAGATAGTGACCACAAAAAAAATAAAAGGCAGGAGCTGATCATGAAACAGGAGAGAAGAGCGATGTTAGCAAAAGTTCAAAAGTTCACATTCATCCCCCATGATACTGGTGATAATTGGCGCTCACATGAGGAGGTCATTTCCCCAACTCCACCGCTGTTAGACAACTTGATCCATAATGATCATTGTGAACACTTGTCTCTGTTGTCTGAAAACTATGCTATATAGGCCTGAGTTCTGCCACTCGTTTAATTCAAACTCATTATGAATAGTGACACAACTATCGGAAATGTACTTTTCAACTTCAAGAGTGCCAATAGAGGTCGGAGCATATCTAGGCACCAATCAATGACTGGAGAGCTTAGGTGAGTTTTTTTTTCTTGGATTGATATGTTTATGGTAATATTTGTAAAGACCGATGAAACGTGCTCGCTCCCTGCCTCCCCGCCTCAGCACTTCCTCCTGTACCTTCTGCAAGTGTACACTTGATGATGAACAGCTCATTGGGTTGCCATTCAGGGATAGTCATATCTGGTTCAACAATGTGTGGAAATTTCCTTGTGGACACCAGATCGACCTCCACTGCCTTGCAGAGTATCTCAGCTTTAGGGTCAAACGGAGTCTAGTCACGGGCCAATTAACTCACGCTCAGTCCTTTCGGCGCATCGAAAAGATATGGAAATGTGCTGCATCTACATGTTCTTCAACATTTCACACAGTCTGCATTGGGATGAAGCTATGTTTCTTTGCAATGAGAGAGGAGTTTCCAATTCAGAGACATCCATTTGGTTTGCATTTGAACAGCGACAATGACATTCAATTGCTTTTAGCAGCATTGCACTGTCCAGGTGCATACTTCGGTCTTAATTCTAGTTTATCTGACTGCTTTGTTTCCCTTCCAAAGCCCATTCACCAGTTGAATATTAATTAAATCATGTTTGTATTTATAATAATTGCGTAGTTGCTCATGATACAGTATAGTTACATTTATCTTGCTCTGTGGAATATCAACCTAAGTATTGCTTGTGACAGATTGGAGCGAGAGGTAAATGTAACGTTTGGAAAGTGATTTGTGGAACTATATATGGTCAATAAACTGTCAGATGAGGCCCCTAGTGTAAAAGACGAACTATAACTCACTAAGATGTGGGTTACCTGCCTCCTAGTTCTAGGTGGGAATACATTCAGATGTCGGTGAGGAGTGAATGCAGCGTTTGAGAAGTGATTTGAGCGGCTATATATGGTCAAGAAGGTCTTTCAGACGAGCCCTTTAGCGTAAAAAATGGATAGGAACTCACCAAGATACGAGGTGACCTGCCTCGTGGTTCCAGGTGGGAATAAATTCAGATGTCGGTGAGGAACGAATGCAGCGTTTGAGAAGTGATTTGAGTGGCTATATATGGTCAAGAAGGTCTTTCAGACGAGCCCTTCGGCGTAAGAAACGAATAGGAACTTACCAAGATACGAGGTAACCTGCCTCATGGTTCCAGGTGGGAATAAATTCAGATGTCGGTGAGGAACAAATGCAGCGTTCGAGAAGTGATTTGAGTGGCTATATATGGTCAAGAGGGTCTTTCAGACGAGCCCTTCGGCGTAAGAAACGGATAGGAACTTACCAAGATACGAGGTAACCTGCCTCATGGTTCCAGGTGGGAATAAATTCAGATGTCGGTGAGGAACGAATGCAGCGTTTGAGAAGTGATTTGAGTGGCTATATATGGTCAAGAAGGTCTTTCAGACGAGCCCTTCGGCGTAAGAAACGAATAGGAACTTACCAAGATACGAGGTAACCTGCCTCATGGTTCCAGGTGGGAATAAATTCAGATGTCGGTGAGGAACAAATGCAGCGTTCGAGAAGTGATTTGAGTGGCTATATATGGTCAAGAGGGTCTTTCAGACGAGCCCTTCGGCGTAAGAAACGGATAGGAACTTACCAAGATACGAGGTAACCTGCCCCATGGTTCCAGGTGGGAATAAATTCAGATGTCGGTGAGGAGCGAATGCAGCGTTCGAGAAGTGATTTGAGTGGCTATATATGGTCAAGAAGGTCTTTCAGACGAGCCCTTTAGCGTAAAAAATGGATAGGAACTCACCAAGATACGAGGTGACCTGCCTCGTGGTTCCAGGTGGGAATAAATTCAGATGTCAGTGAGAAACGAATGCAGCGTTCGAGAAGTGATTTGAGTGGCTATATATGGTCAAGAGGGTCTTTCAGACGAGCCCTTCGGCGTAAGAAACGGATAGGAACTTACCAAGATACGAGGTAACCTGCCTCATGGTTCCAGGTGGGAATAAATTCGGATGTCGGTGAGGAACGAATGCAGCGTTCGAGAAGTGATTTGAGTGGCTATATATGGTCAAGAGGGTCTTTCAGACGAGCCCTTCGGCGTAAGAAACGGATAGGAACTTACCAAGATACGAGGTAACCTGCCTCATGGTTCCAGGTGGGAATAAATTCGGATGTCGGTGAGGAACGAATGCAGCGTTCGAGAAGTGATTTGAGTGGCTATATATGGTCAAGAGGGTCTTTCAGACGAGCCCTTCGGCGTAAGAAACGGATAGGAACTTACCAAGATACGAGGTAACCTGCCTCATGGTTCCAGGTGGGAATAAATTCGGATGTCGGTGAGGAACGAATGCAGCGTTCGAGAAGTGATTTGAGTGGCTATATATGGTCAAGAGGGTCTTTCAGACGAGCCCTTCGGCGTAAGAAACGGATAGGAACTTACCAAGATACGAGGTAACCTGCCTCATGGTTCCAGGTGGGAATAAATTCAGATGTCGGTGAGGAACGAATGCAGCGTTCGAGAAGTGATTTGAGTGGCTATATATGGTCAAGAGGGTCTTTCAGACGAGCCCTTCGGCGTAAGAAACGGATAGGAACTTACCAAGATACGAGGTAACCTGCCCCATGGTTCCAGGTGGGAATAAATTCAGATGTCGGTGAGGAGCGAATGCAGCATTCAGAAAGTGATTTGAGTGGTTATATATGGCTAATGAGCTCTGTCAGATGAGCCCTCCAGCGTAAAAAACAAATAAAAACTCACTGAGATACAAGATGACCTGCCTCGTGGTTCCAGGTATTGAGAAAGTGACATGTCAATAAGGAGCAAATGCAGCATTCGAAAAGTCATTCAAGTGGTTATATATAGCTAACGACCTCTATCAGATGTGCCTTCCAGCGTAAGAAATGAATAGTAACTCACCGAGATACGAGGCAACCTACCTCCTAGTTCCAGGTGGGAATAAAGTTCAATGTCAACGAAGAGCAGATGCAGTATTTCAGAAGCAATATGAGCTGTGTAAGGTTAATGAGCTCCGTCAGGCGAATCCTCTAGGGTAAAAAACAGATTGTAATTCACTGAGATATGAGGCCCTAAAAATGAATGTTGACAAAGACTTGAGTTGTACAGAAATTCTGAAACAGTTGGTTTATGAAGTTTTTATAATGCATACAAAACATAGGAGCATAGGGCATAAGGGCTGTGATGAGGAGTTGATGTTGACGGTGCTCATAACATTATGAAGCTTGTTAAGGGAGATATCAACGCAAAGGTAATAAGAAAGTGTATGTGAGAAAAAACAGACCAGACATGTGCACAGGATTGCTCACATACCAAAACGTCTTGTATAACCAGAGCAACGTCTTTTTTAGCCCATTGGAAGGATTTACGTGAATTTTTTCGGTGATAGAGAAAGAGAGAAAGACGTTGCAGTAGGAGGCTGCAAGACATTACGTTTGCAGCCAGTTTTGATTAATTACCTTAATCTTTACATACAATGCAGCGTGACGAGCAACATGTTGCTGGAATATATAGAGGTTAGATAGGTAAGAATTTCTCTCTTTCATTCCTTTATCCGTTGTACTTTTCGCAAGTTTACAGATACCACTGTGCTTGTTCATAACACAGCTACTATGGCTCCTGCATATTCTCCCTTAGGATCATTATCCGAGCTCACGGGGTCCTCCTGGCTTGCCTCAGCAGTCAAGATGAAAACGGCTGGGGTGTTTTCGGCTTTTATAGGGTATGGATCTCACTCATATTCTTTTATTCCTATTTCTATTTCTACCACATTCATGCATTCGTGCTATCTAAAGAGTCTCTGGAGCTTCAAGCCCATTGTACATCTACCACCAAGATTTGCTCCCGCTCAACCGCTAATGTAGTGGGGCCAAATAATTGCAGGAACTCTTGCGCATGCCTGACGGGCAAGATCCGAGGGACCGGGAGAATCGGGGCGAACGAACGAGAGATGACATACAGCAGTCACTAGTCACTGATCAGGTCACTGATCGTCACTGTGACTGGCGACGTCTCTTTCCCGGTCGTAAGCTTTACTTCCATGACAAATTCAAACGCCAGACCTCCCCGCCCCCCCCAATCTTCATAAAAGGGAAGACGGAGCATTTCGTCGAGGACATCCTTGACTCTAAACCCAAGAAGGGACGACCGGAGGAAGTGGAATACCTCGTAAAATGGGAAGGGTATAATGATGAGTTCAACTCCTGGGTAGGATGGGAAGGTATGGTGGGCTCGATCGAGCTCCTACGTAGCTGGCACAAACACCACCCGAGGAAACGCCAGCCATCGCGTCTGCAATGGGCCTCGTTGGAACGGGAAGCACGGGAAGACGAGGAGGAGGGATCGGGAAGGTAGAAGGGAGTAGAGGGGGGAACGACAACAATGAGGACACGACGGGGACCACAACCCCATATTCACGATTTTCTAACGACAACTGCATTGGAGGGCTCACGAGACCTGAATGCACGACGATTTTAATCTCATTGGTTTTCACATTTCACACAATACGACGAAGGTTTTGATTATTCAACAAAAAAGAAAAGAACAGGCAAGCAAAATATTTAACAGAGGACAATAAAACTACAAAATGAATGCTACAATGACTCCTCCTTGACGATTCCCTGACCCACCGCCAACTCGGTACCTTCCCTCGCCACAGCAATCCTTCCGGCATAAGACTCCTCCGTCTCATACAGCTCGTCATCATCACCAGTTAGATCGATGGATAGGCTGGCGACGGACCCAAAAAGGAGGGGAGGAACTGGGGAACAAGGAGGAGGAGAAGGGGAGGTCGGCGACTCCTGCTCCGACAGGAACAGAGGGACTGGGGGATGGGAACCCGCAGAGGGAGAAGACACCTGGACAATGGGCGCCTCGAGGGACTGCTCGACGTTTGCCTCGCCTGACGACTCGGGAACTGGCCCCATTGACGACATGGGGACTGGAGGATCAGGAACAGGCAACGGGGTATCGGTGATATGATGGATGTATTGTAACATCAACTGCTCCCAGTCAGCAGTCAGCTGGTCAATACTGGGAAGGGCAGGAACAATGTCGTCCCACCTTCCAGCGCCATCACTATGAGGAAGAGCCGTCGACAGTGCGAACATTCGTCGGTGAAGAGGGGGCTCCAAAGAGCTATCGGGAGGAGGAGCGAAACCCGCGTGTTGAGCAGCCGTCAGGAAGGGACCGTCGTTGTCGAATCGGGAATGCTCCAGGACCATACGATAAAGACCCTCATCTTCATCGACAGCATTGTTAAAAAACCATTGAATACTGCTTAAGGACCGCATGTACATGTCACCGTGGACACCTCGAGCCGCCTGCATGTAATCCAGACCCAACTGGAAGTTGTGAACGACAGTGTCGAGATCGTCAGAGTCGAGACCGCGACGAAGGAAGGCCACCACGGCTTCAATAATCGCCCCAAGATAACGATAGTGGTGATGAAGAACCGTGGCAGGTTCGGAGCGGTACAAACGATGAGCGAAGGTGGCGACACGACGGAGGTCTTCACGAGCCTTATGAAGGTCCCCTTCAAGTTGTGAGAGAGGGGGCAAGACGACTTCGTAGTAACCCTCATCAGGGTACTCCTTGATCATTTGTTCGACAAATGCGGCACGACCGCGGGCGCGGTGGACCTCCTCTTGCAACTCCTCTACTAGACGACGTTGACGTGTCGCCAAAGCATTGGACTCGTCAACAACACCTTGTTGATACAGCAGGCTGGTCGTCAAATGCGAGTTCCTACGAGTAGAAGTGGACAACTTTTCCTCGGCGACCTTCCGCTCTCTAATGGCGTCTTCAAGACCCCCCTGTAACTTCTGAAAACGTTCCAAGAGACTCTGAATGGGGAATTAAACGAGAAGGAAAGAATTAGAGGGAAAACAGAATACGCACTCGATCAGGAGGTCCAGGTAGGGCCTCATCCAAAGCACGGAATTGGTCCAACACACGACGGTACTCCACTTGTTGCTCGCGTACCTCACGACTAGAAGATCGTAGCTGCTCTACCTCCCGCTGCCGAGATTCGAGAGCATGGGAAGTATCCCGAAGAGCAGAAGTGAGGGAGGAATTCTCCCGCTGAGAGTCAGATAATTGGGACTCCAGCAATCGAACCCGAGCAGCGAGGCGCTGATTTTCAGCACGATAAGGATGAGTAGCAAGGGCGCGAGGTACTAAGGTGGGACGAGGAACAGGAGGCATATTGGAAGAAAGTAGGTCCTGTCCTGTACCCTTTATAGAGGAAGAAACGGCAGGTTGCTGAACCAAACCGGACTGAGCCCCAGCAACAGCCGCCAAGCGAACCAGATTGCTGTGACCCTGCACCGACAGATCAGCATCGGGTACCTCCATTGAGGAGGGAAAGGCGCGAGGAGGGAGGGGAGTAGAAGTGGTAACTGGCAGCGAACGGACTGGAGGGACCACCAGTCGAACGCGACGAGGAGACTCCTCAGCCGTCTCCTGCACAGGGGACCTACGACGGGGACGCTTTTTAGAAGCATTCGACCGAACCTTTTTGCTGGAGGGACCAGCCACAGGCAAAGGGGAAAGGTCGCGCTTACGCTTAGCAGCGACGGCTGCCTCCTCCTGTTGCAAAGCGAGGAAGTCCCGCAACTCCTGCTGGTCGACGTCAGCAGCGTCCTGATCGTCAAGCATGTTCAACTCGAGGAGGGTAGAGGTCGAAGAAGTACGTTCATGAAGGGCAGCGTCATATTGACGCCATGTAACCAGAGGAATACCCCAAGTCGATTGGTGTGCAGGAGTCCCGTGTAGTTCCAAGAACCTACGACTATATGCGAGATCCTGGTTGCAGCGACGAGCGAAGTACCGATAACGAAGGATCTTGCCCAAACTACAAGTCTTCTTCACGGAGCAGTTCGTACATCGAGGGGAATTTGGCAGAACCTTGCACTTAGCCGGAGATTTGGAACAGTTAGAGCAAGGGGAAGCTACCTCCGCCAAGAGAGGCCACAAAGGATCGTCTTGACAGTAACCCGATAGCGGCTTACCAGTGTTAAAAACCGTCTCGAACAACTGCAACTGTGGACGAGACGGAAATTCGATGGTGAAGGCCAGCTGGTCCTGTTCGGCCTCCCCATCAGACTCAAGATCAGGGGAAGGTACCTCTCCAATAGTAGTAAGGATAGGTAATTGAGGGGAGCGAGTGCGGGAGCTGGAGCGACGAAGGGGAGCAGACATCACAGTTGAAGGAGTTTAACTCGTAGAACTGGCGTGGTGGAAGAAGTGGGAAAAGCAGGTACCTGACGGACTTCAACAAGAAAATTTTCGGGTACCACGTGAATGTCAGGTGACCTTACAGGAAACGCGACGAACCATCGCGAGGGCGCGAAGGGGTTAGAAGGGGGGTAATGTCATGCCCTGACCACAACCAACCAGTCCCAGCACCATCCCACATGCTTCCTTACACCTCCCCAAGACATCCGACCTCCCCAAGACAGGACCACGGGTACTACGCACCTCCCCAAGACAGGACCACGGGTAATACGCACCTCCCCAAGACTATCCTGACAACCTCCCGACACGCGTACGAAACTCCTTAGCACCAGCCCCATTAAGTACAAATCTCGATCACCTGTCTCCTTCGACTACTGCCTCATGTCCCTAGGTTCCGATGTTCCCTTGTTCACTTCCCATACCTATTTAAGTAGCTCCGTAACGTCTCCAAGCGCCAGCTTGGTATATTTTGAACACACACCCTTTTGCATAGGTCCAGTCCCTGTCCCTTTGTACCTGCTAACCATACGGATTTCTCTTTACTCTCTGTTTCTCTACCTCTGTTTCTCTCTACTTCTGTCTATTGTCTCTCTGATCGTCTGTACGATCGAATATACGCTTTTACTTCAAGTCTAAGCCTTCCGAGTGAGTCCCCGAGCTCCCTCGAACATTACTAAAGCTCCCCAACGCCTACCCGCTTGGTGAGCTACTCTTCCCCAAACCTCCCAGAGCTCCCTAGCTACTTCGTAAGCTTCGGGACCTCGATCTAGGTAACGTCGAAGCTACCCCTCACGTCGAACTACGTATTGCTTCTCCGTTACCACCTCCCACACTCGAGGACGACCATCCTCCAACCTAGTCCCCAGGGACCTACCCTCCCTGGCATATCCCTTCTCGGGAGCTTACACCCTCGAGACCCCGTTGCATAAACTACCTACTCGACTCTATATTGACGTTCTAGCGAGTACAACTCCTACTACGCAATATCTTACGGTCCCGCACTCGTCCCGAACCTCCCTACGCATTAGGGACCTCCCTGGACCTCCTAGGAACCCCTCAAGGGTCACCATCTCGTCGTTCCAACCACTACTAGGTCCTTCCCGTCCTCGGTCGCGGTTCTCGTAGCTCCCTTCGAGCTCCAGCCTGCTCCTAGCACGCTACAACATAAACCCCCACATACCAAAACCTACCCTAAGACCTATTTTGACCCAGGTCTTACACGGACCTCATGCGACATGAATGCGGTATCAACGACCGTAATGAGGATTCGCTCACTAGTTCCAGTGGCTGAGGGGTAACCTCCGTTCTGTTGCTGGTTTCCGCCGCATTTTGAAGTACCGTGAATGTATTTCCTAAGATTGCCATAGATCATTCAAAGGAATGGGCTGTTGAGCTAGGTCCGGTTTTGAAACCAGGACGTAACAAAGAACTACTGGGAACGACTGGGGCGAATTTTATGAACTAGTCCGGGCCGGCAAATGCTTTTCCTACAGACATGTGATCAAGACATCAAAACCTTTCTCTCCACCAGTCGCTTCTTCCCTCTCTAGTTCGACCCCTCGTCATGATCAAGTCTGGCAATCCTACAGAGTCAAACTCAGTAGCAGCCAAAATATCATCATCTGTATCTGGGACTCCAGCTTTAGATGATCTATCCAGCTCTTCTCTCCATTCAAACTTGGTTTCAGTGATGACTCTGCGACGTTAGAACGACCAATTTGAAGTCAGTCAAATACTGCCCAGTCAGTTTGTTTCTCGGGTCTGGCAATCTCAAGCTAATGTACTTGCTCCCTTTAGCACCCAAAATCTTTCCCGTATCCCCCAAAACAGCAGATGCAACGTCTTCGGGGCCACCTTCTGAAGTATGTCTGTGGTCTTGCAGTTTAATGGAATACAGGCGAAGAACAACCAACACCGGCCTGCGCCTACCGCATATGGCCAGAGAAGTGCCATGATGTAGACGGCGGTGCCTGTGCGAAGAAGAATTTGTTCACCTAGAACCACACACGAAATTAGGGCATACGTAAATGTGAAGCCTGCTGTGGCTGTTTTGGAATTAGAAATATCGTCCACAGCGACATTATGCTACAGGTTCAGAACCATCGGGATCAAGTCTAGAAAAATTACTGAGGTAGTCATTGAACGGATGACACGATTGTCCTTTTTAGGCCAAGTAAAAATGCTTTGACTTTCCTCGATCTTCAAACTCCCTCCTGTGTATTCACCTAGCTCAACTCCCATTGCTATACTTTAGTATTCTTACGGATGTTGTGCTCTGTCATGAACCGAAATGTCATATTTTTTGCTATACAATTAGGTCGTCAGTCATCAGTATATGATTCAGGTTTTGGCGGCGCTGAATGAGCTATCAATTGTTGCCTCAGTGCTTCTATTGATCCCATCGACAGCACCATCGACATCGATCTTTCAGTCCTGCTTCCTTCATCCGGGTCACAAAGTATCAAATCTTTTGCCTTACCATTCAACAATTGGCACTGCTCTAACTGTTTACCATCCCTCGACTTTTCCGCTCCCACAAGGCACTATTACGCCCGCCAATTATCCACTACGCTACTTCTGGAACAACGGCGCCGTTTTGAACAACACTTCGCTGTGCAATACGAATCACCCACGATGACGAGCCGCCGCTCCAATGGACTTCTTCGCACCCTGTATATCTCTCGACGCGCACGAGGAATATCGCCGGCAGATGGGCCAGGATTCATCTACGCATACGTCGATCATGGTGTCTTCTGGAAGCTTGGGATGACTACGAGTCCTATTCGACGAAGGAAAGAGTGGGACACCCAATGTCCGTGTCCAAACAGGGTCTGGCTATGCCCGATTCGAGTTCTAAACCGACGGAGAGCCGGTAAGTCGAGTTTCACCTCATATTTTGTATGTACTCATCAACTATCAGAATCGCTCTTGCATCTATTAGCAGAATTCAGATGCCTCCACAGGCCTCGTATCTATTGTACTAACTGTACGTCGTTCACTACTTTTCATTTCGCTTATCTTATTCTTGTTCTGGTCTAGGCGGCAAGACACATACGGAGATCTTTGTGTTCTCTGGAAATCGGATGCACGTTGAGAGGACTATCGTTTACCCACTTCTTGTAAGGAGTGCGGTTATATGAAGGTACGCCATCTATCTTTCTATATCTCGTCTATCAACTGACAATTTCTTAGCTGTTTGCGTTTAGATATGGACATGCCCATTGTAAATTTCATATGTACAAACTCTTGTATGGTATCTGACCCCGCTGAGATGATCTTGAACAGTACTTGCAGAGTATACGATACGGATACGTGGAAGATACGTTTGTTTATTTGAATTTCTGGTCAATATCTTGCTAAGGGGTTAATCTAGACTATCCTGGACTTTTTGGCAAAATACCTCAAGATTGGAAAGTCCTTTGATGCAAAGCCTCAAAGTCCTCAACATTGATCAAATATCAAGTTTATATGCTAGGACCATTGTATATATAGTGTCATTAGGCTAATATAAGGACTCTTTCCTTGTGTGTAACGTGTCCCGACATCCCGACATCAGTACGTCCCGACATCCCGACCCCAATGATATCCGGACGTCCCGACGTCCCGACGTCGGGTCACCATAAGCTGGGCGAGCTTATTTTGAAAAAGCGCATCCTTTGCGCCAGGCTATTTGTATGCGAAAATTATGAATTTTCTCGGCTAGAATATCAGGCGACTATCCAAATTAAGCTCAGAGTTTTCGCTATATATTATTCAAAGGCTTTCAATGGAGTAATTGTGAATAAACGGTCCCCGAATAGGTTGAAAAATCGGCTCACATTTTGTTAAAATAGTATCGTAGATATTAGTGGTAAGTTTTTGATATAAAGTGTACTATATCAGTACCATAACATGCAAACAGATTGTGAAGAAATATTAAGAATTTTCGGCGCTCGGTAATCTGAATGAATTTGTACCAAAGCTCAGTATAAAATCAACCTTTCGGTCGCGCGAAAATCGGCTCATCCCCGCAGTGACATACCAAAGATGAAATCAAACAGGTGACCTTCGGTGTTCATGTGGAAGCTTCCATGCTAAAACTACTCGAATATTTCTCCTCGCTCGTTTTTTCCTTCTTTTTGACACCTTCATTTGACTCAGAATGTCAACGTGAACCTACACCAAGCTTTAGCCCCTCCACTGACACATTGACCCATGGTTCTCATTGAAATCCGGCCTTCCCTGTGTGATCCGTCGACAAAGATAACAGAGAGTATATCCAGAAGATTGTGTGCGTTACCACTCGTGTTAGAACCCAATTCACTAGATGGTGAGTTTCTCGATTCTGGTGATAGCAGCGCCCTCTGTTAATCGATCAAAAGGTGCGAACGCGATGGCATCGATGAACGGCTTTAAACAACCACGTTCCCATCTCCACTTGCCCCGCTTCACTCTCCCATCTCAATCCCTAGTGCTCAATGTTAAATGTCATCGGCGACCTCTTCAATTCCTCCAGCTTCCCGTTCCTCTTATTCCCTTCCCAACTCACAGTCATATGTGCCACACATTAGCCTCACGCAGGGGAAGCGGGCTTTGTCTCTAAATCGAGGGCGATGTGTCTAGACCGTAGTTCTTGGTCAGCGGAACATCATCATCTCGCTTGTCCCTACATGGCTGATCTCGACACGACACCCAATCCGTTCACAAAGAAGGAAACACTACTAGAGGCCAACGAGCTCGATGCAGTTGGCTACTGGTCCACGGCCTGAAACGCCGTTCCTCGTTCCACTCCTCTCTATAATTCTGGTCCCGAATCTCGGAAAGACTGTAGATTGTAAGGAATGGCAGGACTTCAACTCATCAGGCTCAGTCCGAGAGTTTACTGCTGGTACCAGGGATCATTCCGGATGAGCTCGCAACTGACGCTATTGTAGATCCTTCCGCTCCATCAACAGCCACTAGGCCACCCACGCCGGGAAGTGTATCTGATCATATTAGGTTGTGGGTTTGAATATCGCGCATCCGTAACTGATGCTTTGTTCCTTTTGTTTTGCTTTTATTCATATAGTGGACACTCTTTATAGAATGTATATAGAACCACTAAGGTTCAATACCTGTTCATGCCACTTCATCTCTTCCCTATATTATGTATTTTCTGAGTTCCCAAGTGTGTGTGTGATATCATTGTTTATGTTCCTTGCATCATTCATAGGAGTTGGAAGGACATTCCTTGATTTGCAGATAACCTCTATTCATTTTTGATAGGCCTGACTTTTCCTTTGGTCCTCAATGAAGTTTCAAGTTCTATATACACCATAGCATCTGGATACTGGCATGAACATTGTATTCTTTTATACCACTAGTTAGTGTACACTTCCTCCAGCTCAACTCTTTACTAGAAATGGACCAAGAAATGAAGCCAAACTCTGAGCTCTGTGCTGTGTAAACCGAAACTAGATTTTCTTGTAGAAGAAGTTCATCCTGTTTACTGATTTTCTGAGTTGTGATATCATTGAGTCCTGTATGTAGCGGAGGCATAAAAAGCTCCATCCAGCACTACAAGGCACGCTACGTCAGCGGTTCCTTCGATATACCTGCTGGTACGTGAGGGGAAATCAGACACTGCAACTTTTTGTTATATTGTTCTGTGCTACTATTTGATCCTTCCATTGCACGTAACCAATTCTTGGAGTGGGCCCATGGTTCTGGATTGCAATGAAGGTAGCATGGAGGAATGGGAATCTTTATGGTAGATGGATATGGGCATTAGAGATACTGGGAGAAGAGAATGCAATACACATGAAACACTGCGGGGATGAAACCCTAATCTTGTAGTGAATATGAAGAGATTAGGTACAAAACTCTTCAAAAATTCTCTGTTAGAGTTTGCTGGGACTTTTTAAAATTTTCTCCCTGAAACAATCATGAACATGGCAGGAAACGAGATTATTTTGAATATTCCTACATTAATTTCAGCCTAATCCTTAACAGATTGTTCCAAAATAATCTCAGCAACAATTTTTTACAAAATTCTCAAAATTTTCAGCCTATTCTTCGTGAGAAAAGTCCTTCATCCCCGCAGTGAAATGGAAGTATCAATGGATAAAGATGTATTTATCACAAGGTCAGGCTGATTAGAAGTAAACCAGTTGTTCATCACAGGTTATGTATTTGCCATTGTCACATTCTTGCTGATGGAGATACTATTTAAGGAAATGGACAAACACATGAAGCCAGACTCCGAGCTCTGTATATACCAATTCTGATTGCAAAAGTTCATCTTATCTACTGCTTTTCTGAGTTGTGATATTGTTGGGTCTAAAAGCCATTTCCCTGATATACCTGCTAATATATTTGTTTGGGGAAATCAGAGGCATATGAAAAGCAGTAGAGCAAGAACATCCATTGATTTATACAATAAGAGCTACATACTGCAAGCGGGGAAAGATCCCGTTCTGCATTCTGCATTCTGACAAAGTTTTTTGAAGAGGCTCTTATATCTTTACATTATTAGCAAAGTACCTGGATGTATGACAGCTTAAGATGCTATTTCTTTGACTTTTAGGCCCTCCTGTCAGTTTAGATTCAGGGGTTCAGCAGGTTCAGGCTTAAGTCAGAAGAGTCTGAAATTTAAATCCAAAATCTGGACCCAGGTCAGCCAGTTCCTGAACTGAACTACCTGAACACTCATTTGTGAAACCTGTGTGTCCCGTCAGAGCAGAGGTACAGGCTCTAACAACTAGCCGATGACACAGGTTTTGCAGATTTTGTACAGCCTGTACAACACAAGCCAAGGAGAAAGATGTTTCACAATCAATCAATGGTCATAAATTTGCAATATTTACAATGTTTGTTCACCATGAAATGCAGCGATTCCACTAAAATGAATGATACACAGTGCCCCACAAAAGGAGGATTGTTCACATAGAAGCGAAGAAGCACCAACGAGATTTGTTGAATCTTTAGTGCTTAGTTTGCTATTACCTGAGCCAGTCACAAACCACAAAAAATAGAAAAGGGAATTTATTGTCAAATACAATATGTACATTATATACATGATGTACTGTGACATATATAACAAGTCGGCTTAACTAGAAAAGGTACTGAACTGTCTTACTCAACACTTTCACAGTTATAATATTCTCCCGGACCTAGTTAAGACACATTGGTATTATTTGCTCCTGAAGAATTGGCAACATGATTCAACTCCCTTATCAATTGTGCTGCTTGGAATGTGACTTCATTTGAATCAGCACCTTGTTCCACTAGATATTTCACAATATCTGCTCTTCCTAAATATACTGCAGCTTGCAATGCATTCCCATGTTCCCCTCCACATGCATTTACATTGGCACCATTTTCTACAAGAAATTTCATGATATCCACTTTTCCCCAACATATTGCAGTTTGCAATGCATTCCCACAATCCCCTCCATGTGCGTTGACATTGGCACCATTCTCTACAAGAAACTTGACAATATCCAGGTTTCCCCCAGGTCCTACTGCAGCTTGCAATGCATTACCATATACTCCGGTCTAGTGATGTGCCGGCTCCGGCTCTGAGCCCTTGGGCCCTATGAGCCTGGCCGGATTGAGCCTGGCCGGGCCGGAGCCGTCTCTAGGGCTGTGGAAAGCTGAGGGCCCGGCTCAGAATTTTCAAAGGCCCCAAGCCGGGTTCTGAGCCGGGGCTGAGTAGTCGAATTTTGTGCCAAAATTCCCACCTGGGAATTGGCAATGGCTGATATGCATGAAGCTAAATGCTCAATATTTACCTATATGGGCATCACTAGCACCATTTTCGGCTGCAAGGATAACTATTGGTTCATGCCATAATCACCTAAAATTGTTCAAGCATTACAATTCGGATACTTTTGCCATTGTAGATGGGTTGGAGCTTGAATCAAATCATCATATTCACAGTGAATCTCTCTTAATGAGGACTGGGAAGGTATCATGTTGTAGATTTTACTATAACATGGCAGCACCTTCTAATTTGAATGTTAGTCTACAAGCCTCAAGGAAGGAACCACTTTGATCTGATTTGGAATTGACAGTAGTTGAAACAACAGGTAATGATTTTGGTGCTTGCTACTCTGATAAGTCTAGTGTACTGGAATTCTACCATTTGATTGCTGTACACTATTATTCTTAATGTTACACCCCTCTCACAAAGTTAGAGCATTAAGAAACAATGGTGTACTCTGGCAATGATTGTGATACAATTTTCAGACCATTGTGGCAGTATTTTCAGACTCACATATTACATTGGATTTTGTATGATCCAATGGTGAATACTTGAACAGATCAAAAAAATTTTGAATCTCACAGTTTGCACCTACCACAGCCGGGGCCCAAGCTTGAGCCGGAACCCAGCCGGGCCCTGGCTTTCATGTAGGGCCCGGCTCAAGATTTTCATGAGCTTTGGCCGGGGCTATTTGAGCCTTAGCCGGGACTTTTGAGCCGGGCCCCAGCCGGCACATCACTAAATTGTAAGTAAAATAAATATCTCCATTATTGGGTTCCAATATCCCAGCAATAGCATGGGAAACAATACGTTGGATAGATTGATTGGATTCCAATGAAATAAGCCAAGCAAGAATATCTGCTGAGACTAAATGCATCCTGTCACCTGCATTCAAATGTTCAAGTTCAGCATCCTTCAGTGAGGCTTTTGACAATGATGGGTAGCCCTGCGCCTTCTTGAAATGTTCACTATCACCTAAGCTCTTTGCTACACCACATCGGAACAGCCATATCAGAAGCTCAAAGACATGCACACCATGTTTTATTAGTATGAACAGCATTGGTACATCTGTAAAACCTGTATTTTCGGCTAAGAGCTCGAAAGCAGCTGACAGCACTGTCCAGCTGGGAAAGTGCTCCCAGCAGTACTGAAAAACTGCTGGGAGTGCTTTCAGTGCTGGACAGCGCTCTCCAGCTAGTACCCTTGCTCTCGCGAACATCCAGGTTTTGCAGATGTATCTTGTATGGACACTCAATCCATAGTTGAGGTATCAGGACACTCCCAAAATAGCAAGTGAATGCAAGGCTTGTTACAGTGACCACAATCCAGGAAAGTGGGCTGTGGAGAACTGAGATATACAATGACAAGCCTATCAAGAATAATGCAAGAGACATGCGCAGAATGAGAGGGAGTGCTCCCACAATTTCTGCAACTTTCTATTTTACCAGCCCGCCATATCTGAATTGGCGGATCATTGCCCGTTCTTTTGCATTTCCAGCTGAAATGGGGCCACTAGCATTTGCAGTGCCACCTGCAGTGGCAGTCACTGCATAGTATCTGCACTCCACTGCAGTGTACCTGCATGCGCCTGCATTACACTCTCGGCATATAAATGCCGGCATTTATATGTATCTTGTCTGATTGTGTCATGCAATTTTGAGTTCATATTTGCCGCATGTTCAACTATTTCAAGATACGCATATGCACATTGAGTTGATATCTTGCTTGGTTTACAAATGAATGTAAGTCATATATGCTTAGTTATGTCACAAGCACTTGGGGTTCAAAACTGCACATAAGAACCAGTAGTAGACATATTCACAATATTTACTTGTGCCTATCATTGTACTCACCCATCTGCAAAACCTAGATGATCATGACAACAAGGGTACTAGCTGGACATCACTGTCCAGCCAAAAGCACTGAAAGCAATTTCTAGAAACTACTTGAGTGGCAGTCAGTCTCTTAGACAAAAATCCAGGATGTACAGATGTATCAGCATGCTCCTACCTCTTACCTGCATTCACCTGGACTGTAACTGCATGCACTTGCACTGTAACTGCACACACCTGCATTGTGACCTCATGCAACTGCACTGTAACTGCACTGTAACTGCACACACCTGCACCTCACCTGCACTGTGACTGCACACACCTGCACCTCACCTGCATTGTGACTGCACACATCTGCACCTTACCTGCACTGTTACTGCATTCACCTGCATTGTTCTTGGCACTTACTTGCAGTCTCACTGTGGGCAATAGGGCTCTGTACCTTTGCATGGAAATCATTGGAATCATTCTGGGTCATTTGTGAATAGTTAAGATTATGAAGGGAAGGAATTTGCATTGCTGATTTGGGCCAATAGGGCTGGAATATCATAAAAAAGTCATGATGGAAAACATTCTTCCAATCTCATGGTATTGCCAGGTTGAGGTTGAAGAACCTAAATAAGAGACATAGAGCCATGTATAAACACTGGATAAGGACCTACAAAAACAAGTTAAACTGTAGGAGATACTTGATATAATGAATACTTTGATTGGAAAATTCGAGGGGACAGTGTATGTATTGTTATACATTCATTTTTTGCTTTTTGGAGTTCTCCTTGGCCAAATTATCATCATTTATCCACCGCTTTTTGACTTGATTAGGCCGTGCTTTTGGCTGATTGCTGAATGTATTTATTAAGTGTTGTTTCTGGTCATCTATAAAATCTGGGCCATGCTACGTCAAATCAAACAACAATCAGAAAACATGTCTTTATTTGAAATATAATTTACCTACCTGGCACTCAACCTCATCATCTCCTTCACGTTTGTTTGTGCAATGGCTTTCAGGACCATACTCTAGCCAGGGATTCCAGTTTTGCAGATGAGATCCAGCATCAAGACCCCATTGTTGATTTCCTGCAACTCCTGCATCCTCAGAAATATCAAAAACTGATTTTTCGAGTAACTGCAATGCCTCTAGATCCACATCAACTCTTTCATACAACTTGTCCTTCCCATCAACTGTTTTCCCTGTCCAAGCTACAAGTCTATTAAATGCTAGTTCAACTATACTGGCCCCTTCTACTTCATGAATGAATTCTGATTGATGCCGGTGCAAAAGTACCAAGGTGCGAGCATGTGCAATAGGTAGGGCACCGATCCATATATGCTGCTTTTGTGAAGCACCTGGTATCACTGTATAGAACCAGTTATTGATACGAGCACAATCATCTACAGTGAGTCCTCCAGAGTGCTCTATGGCTTTGGTAGCTCTTTTCATGCCAGCTTGCCATTTTTTGGCTGGGCACAAACTATCTATAACACTATCTGGATTATTCATAAGTTGAGTCAGTATTCCTATATTTGGTTGTAAAGCCCTGTCAATCTCAGAACTGAATGGAAGGAACTTTGGATCTTCCCAAGCAGCCTCTGCTTGTTCCTCTGCAATAAATGCTCGTACCCATTTGCCAAGCTGTAAATGGGTCAGCTAACCAATATTATCCATTCATTGACTCTTACCCGAATTCTCCTCCTGGCTGCTCTGTTCTGCCATAACTCATCTTTAATATCTTCAATAGATACCTTGGCAATCTTTCCAGGTTGTTGTGAAGAACCAGGTGCAGGTATATTGTGCCTCCACCATCGGATAGAGCAAAACTTATGGCCTTTCTGAATGAGACGGGCAGGGAAGAAAAATAAACCATCCCGGACCAGAACACCTTTGCCATTGCTGTAGAGAGTTTAGAGAAAATAATCAAAGGATTTGTTCAATGGAACATACAATATACGTCCCGATATTGCCTTGGGAGTATCAGCTGCACTATACAAAATGTTATTATAGATCAATCTGATTGCAAAAATACACATACGGCCGTGTTGATCTTCTCAAATTTTGCATTAACTTCTCTTGTATCCTTTTAAATTGCCATGGGTCATCAACTCCACAAATGGGACATATAAAGTCTTGTATCAGTGCTGTAGTACGTTGGGTTTGGCAAGCTTCATGTGACCATATTTTCTTGCATACAGTACAGATTACTATATTTTCTTTTACCTCTTGTTGATGACCATCTGTTTCTACTCCACAGCGACAAATCACATGTGCAGGGGAGCTAGGTGGTGGAGAACTAGAGAAAACATTGACATCTGTTGGTGACTGAGGGTGTGCAGAGTCTCCAGTAATGTCTTGTAGAATAGTGGCATATTCATCTGAGTCAATAGACATTGTAGAGTGAGGGGCTGAGGAGATGGAGGATGCAACAGATGGTGTTTTATATGGTGTGGAGAGTGGTAATGTTTGAGCTTGGAAATCCTGATACTCTATAGGAGCATTTCCACGGTTCCTATATTTTTTAAGTTCACCAGAGGAGAGCCAGGTCTGATTATTGAGAGGAATAAGAGAAAATTTGGGAGCAAGAAATAAGGTTGAAGCATTGAGTAGTGGATATCTTGAAGATGTGTTGGGAGTGATGGAAACTTGTAAATGTTTCTGCAGTAATGAAATCTGTCTATTGCTGAACCATGCCTGAGCAGCAGTACCTCCTTTTAGATGATACATGACAGCACAAGTCCTGTACCCCAAATTCTGATAATCTTCTGGCATCACTGGGAAACGGCCACCCAGTAAGTGATCAAGCTTGCCTGATTCTCTCTGTGCTTGTCCACCATGCTGCATTCCATCATAAAAGAAGACTCCTGTTGCATGTTTTGGAGTATCAAGAGAAGTGGCAAAGCGGGTGACAAAGTGATTCTGGTTGGAAAAAACTCGTGCTGTCATTTCATAGACAAACTGATGTTTCTTTGCTTCATCACCAGCAACAGGATATAAAATCCGTGGAAAGTCCCAAAGCTGATTGTCTTCAGGGTGAATTGTCACACACCAGAAAACTGGGAGCCCTATAATAATATCTACAAGTTGTGTTTTCTGTGTATCATTGCAGGATTGACGCCAGCATCGGATTTGTTGACCTGCACACTGGTCCAAACTTTTATTGATAGTTGTCAAATTCCGAATCCAGTCCTGAAAATAGCCTTGACAGCTTGACCATTGGTGTGCAAAAGGACCTTGAGTGGCTCTGGGTGCAGGTCCAGGGTGTGGGGAAGTGAGTTGAATATGGACAGGGGTGGCATTACAGTACCGTATGGATATTGAATAAGCAGCAAAAAGATGAGATGCACTCTTCTGTGTATCTGTAACAGTGTTTGGGTGGTTGATTGGAATGTCTATACAGGCAGAGAACCAGGTCTATGATTTGCTCAAGTATTAGATGAATAACACACCCTCATTCAATATTACTTACCATCAAGCTGTCTACAGATGTTGTGCTACCTCCATATGACAACACATTGCTCTTGTCCTCTTTAATGTATTGCCGTATTGATTCACGGTGAGATGTCAATTGGTCCTGAATGTCTTTGTTACTACCAACAAGCAGTAAGCGCCGTGCCCTCAGCAAGCAATATATGGGATGGAAGAGATGATGCTCTGCAGATGAGGTCTCGAAGACTAAGGCAACCTCATTCCAGTTACAATTGAGAAGCCAGAATAGAACCTCAAGACTTGTATCTAACCAGCAGGAATTATCAGCCCATTTGTAAGAGGGAATCATCTTCAATGTAGATGAAACAAGAATTGTTGACCGGGACTCTACCTGTTTCAGACAGAAATCCCTGTTAACATTCTCAACAAGGGTATCCTTTGAGTATCTGGCAAGGGCATCATGAGGAATTTGAAGAACTGGGCTGGATGCTTCAGACTTGTTGGGAGAATTAACAGGGAGGGATTGTGGATATATCCACAAAGCTTGAACTTCAGGAGTTTTGGTACCCTGTGTAAGCCACTGCTTCATGAATGCTGAACTTGAGGAAATTACTAATATAAAATGTCTCAGTCTATAAAATGGCAGTAAATATGTGTTTGAATTGCTACCAGTGCCTCCATGCAACCCTTCTATGGTACCACCTGCATTTTCCTGTGATTTATCTGTTGTATATATGAATTTTCACTAATACAATTAAATTTATCAGCTCTTTACCTGATATCTCATTCCACTCCACTGTTCCACCTGTAATGCCTGTCCACTCTTCTGCATTAGGCTGGGAAGGTTCATCTTACATATGGAATCCATGGTAAACTCAAGCAAGTAATATAATCAAATCATACCAGTCTTTGTTATGCCAGACCAATCATCAATATGAAAGGAAGTAGCAAGTGTTTTTGTCTTTACAGGCTTGAACACCCGTTGTTTCCGGGAGGTAAGTGATGACTTGGCCTTAGAGTTTAATTTTTGACGCAACAGACGGTTATCATCTGGGGGTCGACCATCATTATGATACTGCTGTTTTCGTATTTTGATAGCTTTCAGGGCACGTGAACGTTTAGTACGGCCTATCTTTGCTTTCAATGCTTGACGGACATGTAATGGTGGTTTGCCCCAATGTGTTGGTTGACCAACTAGAGAAACAATCAGCAAACTGAAGTCTTATGATAACATATTTGTAACTTACTACGTTCAGCATTAAATAATTTTTCATAAGTTTGAACTATCTTCCAAAGTGCCTCCCAGCCTGCAAAAAATGCATGTTTGCGCCCTTGTTGTGCATACATGCTAAAATGAATAGACTCTTCAGCATTTGTGGTCTCAGGAAGTGAATGCCAAAGCAAAGGATCCATGTTACGCTTAGCTTGAAAAAGCATCGAAGCATGTTCCGGACGCAACCACCAATGAAGCCATGGCCTGATCTTGGGAAAATCTGCCTCCAGAGTTTTTGCCAGTTGATTGAAATCATTGGAATCTTTGGCTTGCAAGAGTCTGTTCACCTTTTTAGCAAAGTGCAACTGTTGCTCAACAGGAACAATTGCTGCAATCCGCTTAACTCGAGTTATACTACACTGGAAATGTTGTAAACAGCCACGCAAAAGCTCATCCCCCCTTTTTCGAAGTTCACTTTCATCCCGAAGGTTGGTGTGCTTCAGCCAAAACCGGACAAAGGCATTGACAAAACCAGTTCGCTCTGCTTCACTAAAATCAACAACCTAGGATCAAATTTTATGATTGAGATTATGTGAAGTATAAAGTATAGATTACACATACCCCAGCAAGAAGCTCATCAACAAGAGTCTTATTCCTTTCACCTACAATTCGTGCAATAGATTCAAACAAGGCAAGGAAATGATATTCATAGTGAGCTGCACTTGCACCATTTGAGTAGCTGATAAGGACTGGAATCCAGCGGAGAAGGATTTGGGAAAAGACAGAGCTGATGATGAGTAATGATGTTTGAACTTTCCACCAGCCATGTGCAGCATCTGAAATAATCCCATTGAAAGGACCATCCACCTGGAGTGCCTCATCATGAAGCTGAGATGCCATAAATGGAGTCTGTGCTGAAATGACTGTGACCCCACCAAGCATAGTGTTTGCAACAATAAAGCCAGGTCGCTCCAGTTGAAAGTGCATAAAAGCTTCTATGAAATCATCTCCACCTTTGATTTTTGCTTGTCCCAGTATTTGATTCCGCATTCGGCCAACACGAGGAGCATGAATGAGCACAGAAGATATATCAGTCACTGTTTTTCCATCAACAGTATTGCCAGAGATCAGAGCTGCTGGTGCCACCTGGGGATTACTTTTAACAAATTGGACAAACTCTGCTGTCTCATCCTGGGTGAGATGAAGTTTGTATGAAGGAACTTCATGATTGTGGTCATGGATTCCATTCATATATCGGACACCACCGGACCACTGTATGATTGCAGCTTTATTTGGACATGGATTATGAATGAGTTCCCGGTTGCCACATTTGCAGGAATGGTTGAGTTGTTTCAGGATTGCAGCACGAGTATGGGTATGAGGACGTATAGTAACTGCACAGTCTTTGTTTCCACAATGAATAGTGCCAAGACATTGACGGTAGGTTCTATGGCCATTCTCCAAATATGAAGAAGCATATGAGGCACCTTTACGTTTCCTTCCAGAGGAGGTTTGGCAGGCCCAATCCACCTGAAATTTTCCTGAACCTTCATACTCTGAATGGGAAACATCCAATGCAAAGTTCCCCTGTGGAGTGGTATTCCATTTTCCCTCTGGAAGATCACTCAAACAGACATATTGGGTGTCCCTGTTGACATAAGGGCCTGTCAAGGGAATATCAGGTTGAGCAGAGCCCACTTGATTTGAGAAAGTAGGGGTGAATGCCAAGGTCTGATTTTTCTCAGGAGAAAGATGTGTCTGCAATTGAAGTGTGTTTTTGTCTAAAGTGGGGGAAGGCAAATGGACCTCCATTGGGATCTGATTTGCAATCTGCTGTTCACTAGACAAATGGTGCTGGTTGGTAGTTTGGGATGGAAGCAAAGTTGGTACTTGAGTGGAACCTGAAACAGGATAATATGGAATTGCTGGTGTAAAGTTGGAAGGAGGGACCATGAAATATTGACCATTGATTTGTGGACGAGACACAAGTGGAAGTGTGGAGTGCATATAGTTGGAGGTATGATAAAAAGGAAGTTGTGATTGTGATGAGACCATGTGCTGATTGGTTGTAATGGTATTCATGTGCCCAGGAATAGTAGGAGGTGGAGCATGGACTGCTTTTGATGCTTAAATAGATTTGGGTTAGTGAATGAATGATTAGAATTGCCAGAATACAAACATACAATTATTGGGCACATTACTTTGGATTTCTTGGGTAAAGTGTGCCTCTGTAGTAGGGCTAGGGCTAATGAAAGAGGCAATTCCCTGCCGAATTTTGCTCTACATATGAAAGCTGTGAATAAACAAGTATGATGCTTGAAGTCAAATGCCTGTATACCAAGTTCATTGTCCAAAAAGACATTGGAAGCAATTTCAAACTTTGGTGTAGTAAATATTTCTGATGGGGGCGAAATAAATCTCCTCGCAATGCAGTGGCTACTTATAATAAATTCATAACCCATCAATTTTCGACCCTGGTTATCCGAAATGTCCATCCAAATCATTGATGGTGAAATTAGGAATAAGGCCAGCTTTGTGAACACCAGCTAGTATCATATTCTGGTACAAGAGGATATTATTTACAAAGCCAAAGCTCTAATGATACAAGATACAGAAAGTTTGCATCGAGAAGAAGCCTGGCAGCGGGCTGGGCGGAATGATAAGATCACTATCCGATTTTGATATTCAGCCCCTCCGGGCCATTATACTATCTGCTGTTGTCGGACACAGCATTCATAGAATGGGTATATTTTGTACAGTGGAAGACCATTTATTTACATATACATTTAAGTAACTGCAGTGCTACTGTGTGCTACTGCATGTCACTGCACATGTCACTGCAATACCCCTGCACATGTCACTGCAAGTGGTACTGCAAATGTTCTGTGCCCGCTGAAATGGAGCTGTAGGCTTGTAGCCATTGCTTGACAAGAACTGACACGAGTGCATTGACTAGGGCTAGTCACAAGCTTGCAAGAAATAGACCATTGATCCAAAGATCATGAGTATCCACTGAAGCATTTCCCAGATCCACAGAGGATTTGGGAATGGCACTGATTGCTGTGGAATTTCCAGCAGCCCTGAGGAGTTGAACCTGCTCAACTAACAGGATTGCAGCTATTTGTGAATAGTCTGGTTGAACAGAAGTTATAGTTGCAATGATAAAGGATGTTATAACACCAGAGAAAAGTGCTGCCTGTTCAGGGTCAGTAAAAGTCTCTAATACCTGAACACCTGAACCATTCATAATATACTCACAAATACCAGCAGTGAATCAATTGTTTCCTTGAAGCCTCCCACCATATCATCATCATGACTTTCTGCCTCATCCAAGTAGACCTTAAACACTCGGGCATTGTCACTCATCTCCTTACCAAGAGGGTCAGGTGCATATTTTTCCTCATAATCCAATGATCTCCCTCCTACTCAATGTGGGATTTTTAAACACATTGCCAATATATGATGAATATCTTACATGAATATGGAGAGTGATTAGTGGGAATCATGCCGATCACTGATGAAGCTGAGTTGTATTTTGTAGTTTCATCCATGTGTGCTGGCAGATATGCATGTCCTTGCTCCATTCTGCTTGTGGTAGGAGGATAGGATATGGAATCTCTAAGCTCAATATGGGTAGATCTAGCATCCCCAGGACCTTGCTGTTGCTCAACAGATGAGAAGTTCCAGCCGTTATTCCTCTGGTCTTCATGCTGGTCCAAAATTGCTTGAGACATTTCAAGTTCTGTCAATATGGGATGTGACCAGACTATGGTACAGAAATGGGCTAGATATATACCCATATGTGTGGTCAGGTGGTGTACTCATGTTTTCAACGCGCACTGCCATGTGTGTGTGTAAACTTGAATGTCAGACATTCATCTGGGATGCATGTCAACAAATGGTACTCCTAGTGTCAGTGTTGAAAAATTGACAACGGTATCTATAGGATGAAATGCCCCTTTCGTGCCACTACTGGATCTGAAACCCAATTTGACTATTCACTGGAAGGAAGGAAGGAAAGAACCGACACGCTCCCATTGAGGAACAGCCGGGGCCCTGAGTACGGAACATTCATTGAATGTCGAACGTTCTCACGGGAAGACATTCGCGTGGTGGGTTTTTAGATCGAGATGATAACAGTGTGCTTTCGCGATGCTCTGTTCATCGATAAGAACAGCTTTCAACGGCCACGTTATCCACTCACCCTCCCCTCGCCCCATTCCAATCCCCGTCATTACCGCTGCTCATCTTATGTGTTACAAGTCTTTGTTATTGCAATCATAACTTCGACTTTTGATCCAGGGCCACGTCTCGAATTGATTTTCTCCGTCATCACAACTACCCCCAGCTTGCTCATTGTCCCTTCGCTCCTCCTTTCAACCTGTCTAATCATCGCTCTTCCTCACTTTTCCCATTGACTATATGGTATTCAGAGGACAATGACTCAGAGAGCGGGAAACACTACTTGAACGGTGCTAGACAATCATACCCTCGAAAATTCAAGTCTTTTTTCCCAAGGTTAAAAATCATAAATACATCTGTTTGTTTCATATTTCCTTATTCAAACCTTTGCAATTAGCTGCCGCGGCTCTATTTCCGTAGGCTTATCTACCAGCGACACTCTAAGTCATGGAATTAGTGCAGGATAATTGCCAGGGTTGGACATATTCCAATACACAATACTAAAATTTTGCGGAGGACAGTCTCAAGTGCGCTTTCATTTCTTGCATCATTCTCAGGACTAGTGTTTATCCACAGTACTTACGCTTTCAGATAACCTTTCTGTAGGGAGAACACCTTCACCTCGAGTCATTCAGTCTTAAATACACCATAACAACTGTAGAAATGAAGATAATATTTTCTCTATATCTCTGGGCTAATTAACATTCATTCCTACCTCCATCCCTGAGGGCCCTTTCTGTATTTGATGAACAGTTTGTAGGCATGGATTTTCTAGATTGTTGTAGTATAAACAAATGCTATTTCCTTGATATGTATATGCTCTTTCCGATAGTCAAGTAACAAGTGCTGTATTTCAGGTAATGGCATTACATTGCTTAGACTGAGTTTCGGGCTTTATAACGGTGACTAATTGTTGAACGTTATAAAGTACAAACTTGAATATTGCTTCTGAGTTGTGTACTGCAGATTAATATAAAGAGGAGTCCTCTATAGTGCAGTACCATGATGCTGTTTGTCCTCGGCCTGTATCAATTCTATTGAAACTTCTCCCGTTCCAGTTTGCCCAGATCCCTGACCTGGCTCTCCTGCAAAGTCCAGCGTGACATGGCTTTCAGGTATCCTGAATCTGATGCCTGAAGGGACCCTGTGACTCTCCACTCCAGTACGGACACCTGCGCTACTACTCCATACTGAATCAGGCCTAGAATATCCTGCTGCTGCGCGTAGGATAATGAGAAGAGGAGCTATACCCTTGAGTGCAAAAAGAGGCATTAAAATTTTTGTTGTGATGAACTCAAAGAAGAAAGCACAGCTCACCGCAACTTGAGCATGAATATTGAGTGCATAAAACGTGTTTGTGTCTTTTGTAGCAACACACACAATCAATGACAAGAGCGTGATTGAATATAACACAGCAGATTCAGCAATTATCTCGATTGCACCGTTGTACCGGTTCCTCCTGTTGGGGAATACTCCTGCAGTCAGTCTCTGTGCTCCTATTATCTTTATGATGATCAATGATGTCCCAGTGATACTTGTGACAATGGATAGACCTCCGGCTGCTGTATTCAGGATAATGAATGTATTTGACTCAATATTGGAGAGGGTGTTGTCTGCTGATGCAGCACTTGGAATGGCAGCGATGGATAAAGCTAGGATGCCCTCATGTGTGAAACAATCCAAATAAAACGAGGATAACCTACCAACGGCTCCCAAAGAGCATATCATTGGTACAACAATCACAATCCATCTCTGACCCCAAACTACCCATGCTCTCCAAAGCTACCATACAAAAGTGATCAGTGACCAAGCATCTTGCTAGAAGAATTATTGCAATACCCACAATCAAACCATCTGCAAGGAATCCATTTGCAAGTAATGATACACCTCTTACACCAACCTGCCAGGGCTTCACATGAGTCAGACTCTCCAAAAGTATATTTGAAACAGCTTCATCTCCGCTCTGTGCTTCACCAAGATCAACAGCGGTGCTTAGATATACCCAGTGTGTCACCGAATGCATGGTGGAGAAAACATATTGAAGAATGACAACGGTCGGGAGGGCATATCGAAGGGATCTTTTGTAATGCTTGTTTTTTCCTGGGGATAGTAGATAGTGAATTCGTTGGAATACAGCATACTAGAGGTGAATGTCATACTCACCTAGTGCCCAGAGCGTGACACAAACCAGCAATAGATAAAATCCTGTACGGAACATAAAATTTTTCGGGTCAACATACAAATAAATTCCCAAGCTTTCAAACCGGACTTACCATTCAACCATTCTTCAAGGAGAATAGAGCTTGAGGGGATTGGGGAATCTGATGAGGACTCGTCGGACATGGTGGCGGGGGGAGGTAAGTAACTTGCTGAATACAATCTCATTTGCGATGGTATTACTTATACAAAAGTGTAAGCAAGTCCATGCAGTTCCGAATCCCATCTACATATCCGCGGACCATGCTAAATTTGCACTCGTCAGTTGAATCATGGTTCTTGTATCTATCATGCAACAGACACTTGACAATGACATGATCCCGAGTTGAGACCCTGTATGATTCCATCAGTTGGCTGATAAACAGTGCTACATTCGATATTCACTGCGCCATCCATCTGGTTGACCGAGACCAAATGCAGCATGCTGGGCAATTTCACCGGTTCTAGCTGCGAACTCTAATTTCAACCGTCGAAATCTGAGTTCCCTATTCCAGCTTGCATTTCATAAAGCATTATTCGCCACAGGAAATGGTGTACTTATTTCTGAAAATTTGAACAAGAATGTCAGCCACTAATGATGAAGACTTGTACATTGTAAGCTAATGTGGAATGGCTTCACATGTTGATAAGAGATAAGCTTTTATATGGGGACAAGTTGGGATGACTCTAAACGCAACTGCTGAACCTTCAAGGTCATTGAAATACAGAAAATTCATTACCTCAAAAAATCTTACAGCTGTTAGCATATTTTTAGCATATTGTTTCGAAAAGCGTTACTTGGTGATGGCGGTCATGAGTCAACAAAAATCCAATGACAAGACTCCACAACTTAGCAAGTGTTTTGAACTGCTTCGGAGGAGTCATGGGCATCTATATGCTGAGAAGTATTCTACAAATTTGCTAAGCTGTAAGGTTATCCATCTGTCATGATCATGATTTGTGATTAATGGATGATGCCAATATTTTGTCTACGTAGTCAGTCCCATGTACCAGTAGCAACAAAGGAAAAAATAACGAGCCTTCAACTCGGCAAATTACAATCAAAGATTGAATCTAAAGACCCGGAGCTGATGGGAAAAACAATTTAATGAATAAGGTGCAGTGCAACTATTTTCGAACCTCGGAGTGCACTCGCATGTGCAAGACAAAACTGTGAGAGTGTAGAATCTATACATTGTGTCAAGTGTGGAAGCTTAACTTACACGCTCATCAAACTCAGACCATAAAATTATCCTCGGGACTCGATTTTTCACAAGCAGTAGAGGAACATATCAGCTTCTCCCGCCATTAACAGTTTCTTGGAATCGCGATGAGCATAAAGCTGCAGGTTTTGACCATCGAGATCACCTTCATTTTGATTATATTACATACCAATTCCATGCTCAAGTCCCAGGATAGACCCGTCACTGATTCTCTGCAACGGTAAACTTCTAATGTTGATGGGCAGTTGAGCTATCTGGGAGTAATCAAAGATGGTGTTAGCACAACTTGAAGGAAAATGATTACTAGGTCTCCACTCGCACTGGTAGTGTCGGAATTACTCAAATAGCTATAACTATAAATATCTGGTTTGCTGGCTGAACTCGAAGCTTGCTAAAGTCTGAACCGCTCAATGGCCTATGATTGTGAAACCGCCTTGCTTGCATCCAAACTCAAGGATGAACTCTTAGTTCATCCCATTATTCTATCTGCTGGCTCTTTTGCGCTGTCCATCTTCATATCACAGGCAGTATATAGCACTTTTGATTGGAGACCTGTGAGCACAACCACTACCCTTCTACTAAAGTCTCGCACAATGCATATACACCTAGTAATTCCACAGGTTGCTATCTGTGTCTCAGCTGATATACTTACTATTGGACTTGACCATTACAAGGACCAGGCACCTTCCCTTGTGGATGCTCTGAATAATGCTAGCACAAGAGTCTTACAGGTCTTCTACCATGCTCGCATTCTTCTGCTCCTAAGCACTACCCTTCTATGTGTGGCACTGTCTCATTCACCCCCTGAAACGTGGATGATTACTGGTATCTTCATTGCTCCAGCCCTTCTTTGGAATACACCTCTCTCCATAAGGATTCCAGGTCATTCCTCTCAGAATGAATTTCCAACTGAGAAAGATCAACAAAAGCCTGAGGGTGCATTTGTTATCAAACGAATTCCGGGTATGAAAGCTTTATTTATTGGGATTATCCGAGGGTGAGATTATTTATGGATGTGCATTAATCAATTCAAGTTGCCTCAAGGCTGACCTCATTCATTGTAGATGTGGTACATTTGCGGTTGTTCATAGTATACTTGCCTCTTCAACAATGGCACCTAATGTGCAGGACAATATGTTTACCTCCACACAAATCCTGATGTGGTCTACAGCCAATCGGACCTGCCATGCAGCATGTCACGCTTTTATCTACATTCCACGCCATTCTCATATTGATAGGTAATGGCTGACATCCGGGATTTCCAAGAAGACTGGGAAAACCAGATCCCCACCATCCCAGTGCTTCTCAAGTCTGTGTACAAGACTCGAGTTTTACTTACACTAATTCACATTGCCACCATGATTTTTTTTCTACAAAATCCATACATCTTCCTTGCTTCAGTCTATGCTATTGCACTTGTTTGGCTTCTTGGGGACAAAACTCCTAAGAAATTCTTCCGTTTCAGTTTTCATTCTCAAACCATTGTGGCTTGTCTATATGGCATAGTCGAATCTTTCAAATACCTTGCTCACACTCATAAGTTCCTGTAATTCGATGTATGCCTTGGACGATACATGCAACTAAGATGCAGTATCAATAATAAGCCCTGACATATCCTCTTCAAATCCGAACGTACAAAGGGTCAATAGTCTTGACTGTTGGGAAATGAATCATACAGGAATCACCTATTAGGTTTCTTGAATGGAGTCACAAAGCTTCCGGTGTAGAGCATTGCCATACGTAAATCAGTGAGCACAAATTTGAGCAGAGGTTGTACGTAGACAGAGTCTGGGGTGAACATGATCATGAAAACGAGGCTGCGTACAAACGAAGAGGTCGGTGACGCAAAATGCATATTTGATTGATAAGAAGGGTTGAATAGCATATTTGAAAGCTTTGGAGCGGAAATTGGAGCAGAGGCGGTGAGTGATGGCTGTTGGTTGAAACGAAGATATTAAGCGCTAAATGATTTTCAAGAGTAAGCGCCCAGCCGTTCATTTTCTCCCGTGTCCATGTCAATGGCGACATTCTTATCAGCCTTGGAACAATGTTCCATTATGGGAAGGAAACGGAGTTCTAGACGCTGTAGGTCGTCGACACTGGCTAGCTAAGACTGGGTGCATTTCATGTAAGACCTTCAAACGAAAGGCCATTTCTCATGTGAAGAAACGCGTACAGAGCTCTAGAAATAACCATGTTCATCAAGAAGACCGCCGCCCTCTCGATCCCTAACCGGCACCAATAACCACCCTCCTCTTTTTCCTCCGTCGAATTCGCATTTCCACCATTGCTTCTCACTGGATCCGCACTACCATCAACAAGCAACCTCGATTTTGCTGCAATCCAAGGACCAACTGACGGAGAGATGGACCAGGCAGGAAAGGAATATAGGCGGTCAAATGAATGGATGAATTCAAGCTAATCGGGTATCTATTCCTCGACAGGGGTGATTCAGTCTATCCTCGATGTTACAACAGCGAGATTACGCGTAGCTCCGTCTTCATCTCCTTCGCGTGTAATACGGTGGTGCTTCTTTGCTTCTCTCATGCTCCGTCCATCGATGAACAAGATGGATGGCAACTTCCCACCAAATCTGCACTACAATTTTAAACCAGGATCCGATGGACACAAATCAATAGCTGCCGAACGTCGAACGCTGAACATGTTGAACCATCATATCGTCCACTCGCCCGCCGCACCTCAACTCACCCCATTCAGCTTACCGTGTCGTTCACGCTATTCCACCCTTCCACCACCGAACGTTGGGCCAAATTCGTTGGACCTCCGAATAATGCCTTATCAGTCCAGTTTCCGTCGCTTCCATTGCACCGACATCATTGATCATTGATCATCGCTCGTCTCCAGATAACTGTAAACGCTGCAATACCCCGTGCCAACCTACACCGAATTCACGCTTCCTCCTTTCAAAATCCGATAACGATGTGATATCTCCTTCGTAAATCCTCTTTTGCCCCATGACATTCTACCTTGTACCAGCCCACACTCTGTTCCCGCCACCTGGTTCTGGATTTCGGATTCATCGAGAAGAAGTGGAGAACTTCATATTATATATAGGGTTGACGCTCAGAAATGGTGAGATGGCCGAGCGGTCTAAGGCGCCAGACTAAGGAATGACCAGCGCATTTGGATGCGCAGGATATCTGGTCACATTGTGGCGTGGGTTCGAATCCCACTCTCATCATTTTTTCTATACATGCCCCGTACATGGCTCTAGTTATCCCCTCCAGCACCTGTGAAACTGACAACAACCTTCTTTAGATTTCCCATTGTCTACTATTCTCAGAAACCCAGTTATGTCCTCTCTCCCCTTTATTTCTTCTTCACCCCGAAATATTTTACACCATCTAACAGTGACCCCCATCCCATAGTATACAATGCATAACATCTCATCAACTATCATCCCGGGCTTGTACCATGACCGTATTTTTTCTCTTGACTTCCAAGGAGGACAACCCCTTGAATGCACATACTTCATTAGAAGATCCTTTCCGCGATGAGAACTTTTATACAGCCCAAATGACGAGAGCGGGTAATACCTAGCTCTGTCCCGACTCCGTGAGTGTCTGCACTCCGAATCTCAATGATGAATATAGCCATGAGTCTTGGTGTTTGTATAGTAATGGTCATAATGTGATAACCTCAACTCACAAAAGAGAACGCATTCCATTATGTCAATCTCCGAGGAAGGAGGAAGCATTTTTCGATCCAATTCAGGACTCGTGAAGTGCAGTGGCGAAATGCTATTGGTGCTGCATGTCAAGATTCGGAGAATGAAGTTGAATATTGTTTCTCCTGTATCTCGTGAGCCTGTGGTTAAAATTTCAAGTAACCATTGCAAATAATAGCGGGTGATAAACTAGATGTAGTGAGATTCAATTGCCAAGTTCCTGGTATTCATCATAAATACCTGTCGCACTTCTCGGGCGTCAGGGGAGAGGTTTCGATCCACCAATATATTCGTTCCTTTCAGTCCTCATCGCATTTCTCATTTCAAAGATTCCACCACGGTCGTTTGTGCAAAATTCATTCAACGTAAAACCTAGGTCTGTCCATGCCTTGATCAACGGAGGTACTTGCTTGATGATAAGTTTACAACATTATTATACGTGACCACAGTTTCAAGAGTGTAACAATGCGGTTACATACACAACTTGCCAAGAATACCATAGCATACTATATATAACCTGTGACTTCGTAGCACTTTTCTCCTCGGACTCACAACACTTGGTGGAGGGCTAGTCATTGGTTTAAGCGCAGGGTTGTTGGCTCCAGTCATCAGTGTAGGGCTGGGAATTGCATTTAGCACTATCAGACTCACCGGGGCATTGACGTTCCTTGCTGGGTCAGTGGGGGCAGCGGTTATCACGGCTGGGATCACATGGAGCTCCCCCGTAACGTTCCTCTTATGTCCCGCCTTATCCTTCTTCCCGCAATTCCCATAAAGCTTGTGATATACCATTGATCACAAGCATGCAAAAAATCATGCGTAAGTGATGAAGGGATACTAGGAAGGTGGTGGAGACGTAAAGAGTGGCGAGGAGGGGTGATTGATTGAATTTAGCGGGGATCCGGCAGAGACAGAGATAGGAAAATAGATGATGAATAGATGAGTGATTGCAGATATAGAATGAATTTGATGACGGACACTCACCTCCCAGCAATCCTAGATAAATTCACATCTACAGCTCCAACAAGACTCAGAACCCATAATCAGTCCCATACAAGGAACGCGACGGGGCACAGAACATTTGCAGTACCACTTGCAGTGACATGTGCAGGGGTATTGCAGTGACATGTGCAGTGACATGCAGTAGCACACAGTAGCACTGCAGTTACTTAAATGTATATGTAAATAAATGGTCTTCCACTGTACAAAATATACCCATTCTATGAATGCTGTGTCCGACAACAGCAGATAGTATAATGGCCCGGAGGGGCTGAATATCAAAATCGGATAGTGATCTTATCATTCCGCCCAGCCCGCTGCCAGGCTTCTTCTCGATGCAAACTTTCTGTATCTTGTATCATTAGAGCTTTGGCTTTGTAAATAATATCCTCTTGTACCAGAATATGATACTAGCTGGTGTTCACAAAGCTGGCCTTATTCCTAATTTCACCATCAATGATTTGGATGGACATTTCGGATAACCAGGGTCGAAAATTGATGGGTTATGAATTTATTATAAGTAGCCACTGCATTGCGAGGAGATTTATTTCGCCCCCATCAGAAATATTTACTACACCAAAGTTTGAAATTGCTTCCAATGTCTTTTTGGACAATGAACTTGGTATACAGGCATTTGACTTCAAGCATCATACTTGTTTATTCACAGCTTTCATATGTAGAGCAAAATTCGGCAGGGAATTGCCTCTTTCATTAGCCCTAGCCCTACTACAGAGGCACACTTTACCCAAGAAATCCAAAGTAATGTGCCCAATAATTGTATGTTTGTATTCTGGCAATTCTAATCATTCATTCACTAACCCAAATCTATTTAAGCATCAAAAGCAGTCCATGCTCCACCTCCTACTATTCCTGGGCACATGAATACCATTACAACCAATCAGCACATGGTCTCATCACAATCACAACTTCCTTTTTATCATACCTCCAACTATATGCACTCCACACTTCCACTTGTGTCTCGTCCACAAATCAATGGTCAATATTTCATGGTCCCTCCTTCCAACTTTACACCAGCAATTCCATATTATCCTGTTTCAGGTTCCACTCAAGTACCAACTTTGCTTCCATCCCAAACTACCAACCAGCACCATTTGTCTAGTGAACAGCAGATTGCAAATCAGATCCCAATGGAGGTCCATTTGCCTTCCCCCACTTTAGACAAAAACACACTTCAATTGCAGACACATCTTTCTCCTGAGAAAAATCAGACCTTGGCATTCACCCCTACTTTCTCAAATCAAGTGGGCTCTGCTCAACCTGATATTCCCTTGACAGGCCCTTATGTCAACAGGGACACCCAATATGTCTGTTTGAGTGATCTTCCAGAGGGAAAATGGAATACCACTCCACAGGGGAACTTTGCATTGGATGTTTCCCATTCAGAGTATGAAGGTTCAGGAAAATTTCAGGTGGATTGGGCCTGCCAAACCTCCTCTGGAAGGAAACGTAAAGGTGCCTCATATGCTTCTTCATATTTGGAGAATGGCCATAGAACCTACCGTCAATGTCTTGGCACTATTCATTGTGGAAACAAAGACTGTGCAGTTACTATACGTCCTCATACCCATACTCGTGCTGCAATCCTGAAACAACTCAACCATTCCTGCAAATGTGGCAACCGGGAACTCATTCATAATCCATGTCCAAATAAAGCTGCAATCATACAGTGGTCCGGTGGTGTCCGATATATGAATGGAATCCATGACCACAATCATGAAGTTCCTTCATACAAACTTCATCTCACCCAGGATGAGACAGCAGAGTTTGTCCAATTTGTTAAAAGTAATCCCCAGGTGGCACCAGCAGCTCTGATCTCTGGCAATACTGTTGATGGAAAAACAG